GAAAGGTAGGAGTTTGGGGTCTTACTCCCAGCACTGCCGTTTATTAGCCTTGTGACGTAGGTCAAGGCCCATCTGGTTTGGAGTCTTAGTAGCCGGCCTGCCCTATCGTATTACTTTAAAGATCAAATGCTGAATATAAAGTACTCTGAAAATTGTAAAGCACAATAAAAATATAAGCACTGAATAAAAGTTTACTCAATCTCATCTAAACTATGAATTGTACCAGGGAAAAGTAAACTATGTTATTGACCCCTGTCTCATTCTTTCAATCATAGAATTTGAAAGGATCTTAGCAATTATCTGGTCTAACCTCCTTATATAACACATGAAGCTTCTCTATAATATCAAAGGTAAGAAGTAGTTTGACTTCTGTTTGAACAGAGAATAAACAACTAACTCACTATCTCATAGTATATTGCATCTCATTTCATTCTGGGGAAGCTTTAACGATTAGAGATTTAAGGCTCCCTTGCACTTCTCCCTATTAATCTAAAATCAGTGCCCGATAGACTAGGTGTTCAATAAATATGAGTTAAATGAATAAATGAATTGAATTCTCATTCTGCTTCCTGGAACAGTTTAGAACAGGCTCAATTCCTCTTTCACCTAACAGACTTTCAAGTTTTTGAAGGGAACTATTATGACTCCTCTCAGTTCCTGCTTCTCCACAAAAAACATCTTCTAGTCCGGGGATCCTTAGTCACATCAGCTGTTTCTCACAACTGAAAGGGATGCTCTGACCTGGATTTAACTTAAAACCAGCCCAAATCTAGTTTACTGAAATCTAAGGCTAAACATAACCCTCACACTACCTCTAACCCTCTACCCTAACCTCTTGTCTAGCCCTCAACTTTAATCCTTCTTCTACCCAACTTCAGTCCTAACTATGAGCTCTAACTCTACTTACAATGTTTAACCCGACATGGTCTCTAACTCATGCGGGCCACTAATAACCCCTCCTTGATTCTGTAAATCGAGTACCTTAATCTCGCCGAACTGGGCTACATAGTTTTCCATGGTCCTCAAAGCTTGGTCAGCTAGTTTCTCTTCATAGTCTTCCCAAAGGAGATCATTATTCTGTGGGATAGAGGCAGAGGGGAGTGGTGAGAGCTCCACTTCTCAACAACAACTGCATACCAGGGAGATGCCCAAATTCTTCCTGCCACAGACCTCCTTTTTGGAGCACTGTATACAGAATATCATGTTGGATTCTGGCAAAGGGTCAGATGAAGAAACAGCCCTTCCCCAAGGAACTACCTATAAGAGACTGGATATACATTCAGGGATTAAGAACAGGAACAGAGGATCAGAGTCTTTGGACTCTAGTGCATGAAGGATAGGGAAGCTTGGGAATAAATAATTACATGAAAGCAACCAATTAGGTTAGATGTAGGTAAAACTTCCACAAGGTTTTAAAGAGGGGAAGAGGGTCAAAAACAGAGGAGTCCACAGATTAGGGCAAACTTGTTTTTGCCTTCATAGTTGCAGCTTTTCCCTTCCACCCATGACTGAGGCTATACAAATGAGCAATGTGAGTTGGTACTCTGTTTTACTATTTGCTTGGATGAAGAAACTAAGATGAGGCTGAAATGAGGGCAGGAGTGAGTTGTGAAGGGTTGTAAAGCCCAGAACACTCTTACCCCTACAATGGCCTTTAGCTCCTCATGACCGTCCCATTCGCTGTTGTAGATCTCCTGCAGGGTTTCTGACACTTTCTTTGAACTTTCATGCATCACTGTAAAGAGAGAACACAGTCCTACCATTATGTTTCTTAAAAAGTACTTTGGGGGTCGGCCAAGTGGCTCAGTTGGTTAAAAGTTAGTTTAAGAGCACGAGCTCTGAGCAACAGGGCCACCAGTTCGATTCCCACATGGGCCAGTGATGCTGCACCCGAGATGAGCTGACTCTGAGCTGCCAACAAGTGGCAGAATGGCTCAGGTGGTAAGGGCACATGCTCCTAACAACAAGGCTGTTCCATGGTGGGCTACACCCACCTGCAACTAAGACTGAACTCGGCACCTTGAGCTGAGTTGCCTCCCGGATGGATGGCTCAATGGATAGAGCACGCACTCTTAACAACAAGGCTGCCAGTTTGACTCCCACATGAGATGGTGGCTATGCCCACCCACAACTAAGATTGTAACACAGCACCTTGAGCTTAGAGGCCACGAGCTGCTGACGGGCAGCCAGGTGGCGACTGGCACCCTCCACAACTAAGATCGAAGAACAACAACTTGGCTGGTCCCCCTCCCCAATTAAAAAAAAAAAAGTACTTTGGTATAACCATATGGGTGACAGGCACATCAGTGGATCTGATTCAGAGGGACAAACTCAGAAGGTTTGGGTTATCACTGAGGGAAGCCGGTTGGGGCTGGATAGGAAAAGTTACTCTTCCTAGGCCCAAGAAGTTCCAGGAGTCCGGGGCAGGCAAGTGATAAAAAACCTGAGTATGGCTGTTTTTTTCCATCCTCAGACCGCTTACTAGCTGCATAAGTGCCCTCTGGATTCTTCTGTGTAAGAATACACACCTTTGACTGCACCAAGGAAGTTCTTTAGGTCTTTGTATAGCTTGAGGCCTTCTGTCTGAAAGGGAGAAATGCCTTTGATGACTAAAGAGATACATTTGGAAAAATGTTCCAGACATCAAAGTATAAAAGTAGCTTAAAAGCAGAATTTCTTTAAACATTTGCAAGTGTTGTAATTAGCCTTTACATTCCTTACCAAGAGGTTATCTCTTTGGGGGCAATTTTTAAGTTGGGCGATTGCTCCCACTGCACCTGGGATGTCTTCTTTCCTCTGTTTGTTCTCCCTTCCAGTGACAAGAGCCTGTACCCATGTTCCTCTTGTCGAAATTCAAGTGTCCCATGTGACCCTCTGTATGTGATCCTTTGGCTTACGCCTTCCTTTCTGGGTCAACTGTTACCATCTTCGGCAGCCACCAGACGCTCTCCCTTCTCTGCACCCTCACAGGTCATTTCTCTCTTCCCGGACATCCTTCTCGGCCTTGCCTCACTTGACCCTTTCCTTCCATCGGTCACCTGCTTTACTCTTCTCTCCCAAGGAGCCTCATCATTGACTCTCCTGTTCAAACTCCAATGTCTTCATCTATAGTTCTATCTGCCTACCTCATTCTACCTATCCGCCTGTCTCTGAATTCGCATTTTTTAATGCTAGGACTCCCAAGCACAGATTGGGTCTCCTCCTTCTAAATAAAGAAGAGAGGAAGGAGAGGAAGGTATCTTTTAGATTTGGAAGTTCAAATCTCAGTTCTACAGATGAACCACTTTTGTTATAACTCTGATTTAGCCTCTGCTTCTTGAGTATCTCCAGCAACCAGAAACTGACGACCTCTTGCCGAGGCTGCACTTGCAGTGTAAATAGCTCCAATTATTAGAACTTCTGCCCACTGGTCTTAGATTGGCCTTCTGTGCTCACAGATCTCATTTCTTTCGCACATAGGTTTGAAGACCTCTTTCACATGTCCCGTACCAAGTTTTCTTTTTCACAGGCTTCCTCCTGATGATGTTTAAAGCCCCTTCCCATTCCGGTCTCTTTCCGCTGTGTGAACCCCAGCTTCTAGGAGTTGGTTGAGAAGAAAGTTTGAGGCCAGGCTGCTGCCATTTTGGCACCTGACTTCAGGAGTGTGGACTGGACTGAAAGTGCAGCCCACTTCAAGGGCATCCCACAGGCCTAGGTCCATGTTGGACTAGTGATCTTCATACCAGTTCAGGTGATGGGCGTATTTGAGCTAAGATGCATTATGAGGTATATCATGAAATACTTACGAACTTGTTCATTTGTTTTATTTGCTTGTGTTCATTACTATATAGACTATAGAGCATACCAAAAGTATTAAAAAAATTTATAGCAGAAAAACTGAAAATCCAGGAAATTCTATCTAAAAACTTAAAAATTTTTTATCTGTGGAAACCTTTGAGAGAAAGATCATTATTATTTAATTTTAGCAGCAGAAAATCTAGGTCTACTCAGTCAAATAAAGAAAACTGGACTAATTTCATTTATCTTCTTGTCTCCAGAGCTCACCTCTAAACCAGTCCAAACTCTTGACCATATTTCAGGTTAAAAGTCCATCTCAAGTGGCTGAATGCTAGGGCTCAAGGGACATGAAGACAAAGACAGTCTCGAGGGAATCTAAGGCACTGTCAGAGAGGGGAAAGAATTGGGTGTGTGTAGTGTGTCATAGCAAGTGAGGACCAAGAGAGCATCAGAGAAATGACCAAGGAAGGGTTAGATGCTACGGAGAGGTTAGAATGCAGGAAGAACTGGTAAAAGTCACTGAACTTGGTAACTGGAGGTCACTGGTGACCGTGAGAAAGTGCATGATGGAGACAAATTAAGTCAATTAAAAAAATTCAGAAATACCCAGCATTACCAGGAAGGATGTCTCACTTCCTCTGTAGTTTTTCATTCACAGCAAAAAAGTTTAAATAGTCTAAGATGTTAAATGTACATAATATGTTTTAAACATGGCTATGTGAGGTAGGTATAAGTTTGAGAGTTTTGAAAATGTGATAACCAAGGTTTTAAAGAGTTTTAGGGATTATAAAAATTAACAAAGGATTTCAAATTTTTTTTTGAAAGAAAAAACATGGACTCAACTTTTTACTTCACCATAAAGATTTGGTCTCAAAAATATCTATTTGAGGAACAAAAGCTGTTAAACTATCTTGCATAATTTCTACAAATAAAATTCTTAATTTTTTACCCCATTAGATTTTATATAGCCTGAAAAATCAGATCAATAATTAAGGCTACCATTATATGATAAACCCACAGCTAACATCATACTCAATGTGGAAAAGCTAAAACCATTCCCCTTAAGATCAGGAACACGACAAGGCTGTCCACTTTCTCCACTTTTATTCAACATAGTTCTGGAAGTTCTAGTCACAGCAATCAGACAAGAAAAAGAAATAAAAGGTATCCAAATTGGTGAGGAAATAAAATTGTCATTATATGCAGATGACATGATACTATATAAAGAGAACCCCAAAGACTCCATCAAAAAACTATTGGAACTGATAGACGAATTCAATAAGGTAGCAGGATACAAAATTAATATTCAGAAATCAGTTGCATTTGTATATACCAATAATAAACTATTGGAAGGAGAAATTAAGAAAACAGTCCCATTTACAATTGCTTTAAGAACTATAAAATATTTAGGAATAAATTTAACCAAAGAAGTAAAAGATCTGTACTCAGAAAATTATAAGACACTGAAAAAAGAAATAAAAGAAGATACAAATAAATGGAAACACCTACCATGCTCATGGATAGGAACAATTAATATAGTTAAAATGTCCATACTGCCTAAAGCAATATATAGATTCAATGCAATTCCTATCAAACGACTAAGGGCATTTTTCACAGAAATAGAAAATATAATCCTAAAATTTGTATGGAACCATAAAAGACCCCGAATAGCCACAGCAATCCTGAGAAATAAAGACAAAGTCGGGGGTATCATGCTACCAGACATCAAAACATAGTACAAGGCTACGGTAATCAAAACAGTATGATACTGGCATAAAAACAGGCACATTGATCAATGGAACAGAATAGAGAGGCTAGAAATAAATCCGTGTATATACAGACAGTTAGTCTATGACAATGGAAGCAAGAATTTACATTGGGGTAAAGATAGTCTATTTAATAAATGATGCTGGGAAAACTGGACTGACACATGCAAAAAAATGAAACTGGACAGGGCCAGCCAAGTGGCTCAGTTGGTTAAGAGCTCGCTCAAGAGTGTGAGCTCTGAGCAACAGTGGTTCAAGTCTTGGCCCGAGCTGAGCTGCCGCTGAGCTGCCAACAGGTGGCAGGATGGTTCAGCTAAAAAAACAAAAAAAAACAAAAAAAAAAACTGGCCCACCTCCTTACGCCATATACAAGAACAAGTTCAAAATGGATTAAAGACTTAAACGTAAGACCTGAAACCATAAGACTCCTAGAAGAAAATATAGGGAGTAAATTTGCAGACATTACCCTGAGCAATATTTTTACTG